TTGGTTTTATTTCCAAATAGTTTCATTATAGAAATTACAACTAATAATATCATATATGGCAATCGTTAATAAATAATCTTGGCCCTCTTGGTCGTTGAACAGGCCCCATCACTCGGCTATAAATCTGACAATGGGTCTTGCAGATAATTTACGATTTGATGAACAGCAACGCCAACAAGAAGTCATAACTAGGGAGGGAAAATGAAATATAAGAACATAAGTTTCACTCATTAACCAATATTACTCAAAAGAAATTGGAAATGTATTTAAACTCATTATTATGGGATTTGATTCCAACAATATAATTCTCATAATTTATAATGTGCATAGAATAGGTTTAAGATCCTACTTAACCAAACGAAGAAATAAATAAGGGATTTGTGGAGATAATAGACTCATGAATCTGGATAGTAAAGCCTAAAAGAAAAAAAACACAATCAATTTTATATACCGGTACATGGTAATAAAACCACCAATGTGAGGGTCTGTCATTTATTGACAAGTTAAGTACAGTATTACCGGAGTCAGTGTTTATTGGTTTAAGAGCGGACAACAACACAGGCTGCCACGTCATATTTTTTGGTAGATTGTTTACAGTAAATAGTTAATTTCTCTGTGTCAAAGAGCGTGGAGACATCATTTTAGTGTCACATGATCAGTTCTTCACCGTGTTTTACCCCGTACTCTCCGTCATCTTTCATGTCCTGCCCATTACAGGTGATTTATGTTCATAGAGAAGATATAAAAAAATACTGGTATTTATAATTAAAATAAAAAGTTGTGTTAATTTTTATTAGTTAATATGATATTATGTCATTTGTTGCCACCCAAAATTTGTTGATAATTTTATGGTAGCAATCAGTAGTTTTGATCATTCTAAAACACTTTTCTTCTATGGCATTTCTGTCACAAATTAAGTTCTGTATAAGTGAGATATTTTACATTTTAGTTGCTGGTTTGTTAACCAATCAGATCTTGGCATAGTCCATCTGTTAGGCTAGTATGGTTTAGATTAGGTTATATATTCTATACTGGTGCAATCAATACAGTATACTTATATACTAATGCAAATTAATTACATACACTGTACACTCTTGTCCTATATGTTCGTAGGAAATGTCAAATTTTCCCCTAAAATCAAAACTTTTTAATTTATAAATTTGTACCAAAAAATTTCAAACAATAGAATCAAATCTATATAACATTTTACATCCATCAAGCATAATTTCAACTTTCAAATGCTTGGTGGTAACAAGTGAAATTTTACCATTAATACTACATCATCCACAGAACAACTGTGGATAATATGAATCAAATATAAACACAGTACTCTGGTACTAAGGGACTCCACCACCACTACCCAGTACAAGTTATGAAGGTGTTATTTGACTGTGCTGGCTGGCCAAATATCCAAAGGGTATTTGACCGTTAGCTGCGGAGATTGTCTATGATTTTAATGGGATTGTGGACAGGATGGCTGTGGGCATTATTACACTAGTCATTAATGCTTAATCATTATCTCCCTTGTGATACTCCAAGATGTCCCACTTCTCTTATGGACATATAATGATGTAGGTTGAATTGGGTTAGGTTAGATAAACATTTTTTAGTCTATACCTAAACTGTTAAACGTTGAGCTGTTGGTTAATTTAATCATGTTCTATCTTCCTTTACGTGTTCCTATCTCTACTGTGTTACAATAATATGGGGCCACAACAACCTTAGAGATATTATATTATATTTATAATTGATACAGTAAAACCATTGGTAAATAATAATTATTGACATACAATAATATGATATATAAGTGAGGGTAAAATAGTGCTATAAGCCGTGCCTACCTGTTGCTCCTGCCAGCAGACCAACACCCACACAGCAAGTCTCTTACCTTGTCCAATATGTCCTCACAACTATTATAAGGCTCTCTCTCTCTTACACCACCATAATCCCTGCACACTTATCATTCATACTAAAACACAAATGAGTCCTCACAATACAATATTACACCAATACAAACCAATTTTCTTCAGAATATTTTTCGATGCTGTGTTTGCATGGAGGAGGGCATGGCACACCACACCCTTCTTCCCAACCACACACACTTCCTCCTAACCACTCCCTCTTCCTCCCATCCACACCCTCTTCCTCCCATGCACATCCTCTTCCTCCCATCCACATCCTCCCATCCACAAACACTACCTCCCATCCACACACCCAAAAGGTTGGGTGGATGGGAAGGGAGTTGGGATGGGTAGGTATGTGAGTTGGGTTGGAGGGGAGGTGGTGTAGGAGGAGGGTTGGGTGGGAGGGAGGGAGGGAGGGTGGGTGGGGTGTTTGGGAGGGAGTGTTGGGTATAAGGAAAGGTGTGAGAGAGGGTGAGTGTATGGATGGGAGTGAGGGTGTGTGTGGGAGGTCCTCCCATACACACACACCCTCACTCTCTCACACACCCAACCTCCCACCTTTAATGTGTGTGGATGGGACTAAGGTTTTCTCATTTCTTTCAGATTGTGCGCCTCCGAGGTGAACGTCTGACTGAAGTGAACGTGTGGCTGGTCGAGAACTCCTCCAAACAGGTAAAGTACTTATGACAATATATAATGTCTATATGCAAGTATTTATGAATGTTATGTTTTAAAGTTTTTTGTATTCCAGGTTTGTTTGTGTGGCTGACTGGACCTACTACAAGGTGCTTCTTGCAGGTAATAAAGGTAAAGTTTTTCAAGTTATAGTTGATAGCACTAACAGCACCGTAGTTAGACGTAGAATACACAGTAGTAACTCCGCCTTGTTCAGTCGAACATGCCGGTCCCAAGCCCGGATAAAGGAGGAGGGCTACTGCAGTGTTGTATCTACCATCGCCACCTAACAAACTTACATTATAAATTGTTCTGAAAAAGGTAATATGTTCTGTCAGCAACATAGAAAAAAATTACATATGTACTGTACATTGTGTACTATGTTTTTATATCTTTGTAGATAGGTAATACAAAATAAAGAATTGAATATACAGTATATTTTTTATTTTCATATGTATACACTACACATTTATTGCAATATACAATAACAGTCCAGAAGCTGATACAGAAATACAAAATATCCTTGGTCATATAGCCTGGTTTTATACCTGCACTATCTAGGTACATTATATATCAATTTACTGGCTATTCCTGCAGTCTTATGTTCTTAAACCTACATTACCAAATATTAGCACAGAAGAAAATCAGAGAAAACTTGTAATGATTGGCAACATCACTAGATATCTTTCTCCCGTGTCCCAAGAAATCACATTACAGTACCACTACCATTATTATTTCTCGGCAGATACATCAGTGATGGTGAGGCCGTCACATTACCAGCGGTTGTGGATTTCTCAATTCAACCTTTATATTGCAGACTCCACATAAGGTGAGTTTATTTCACTAGACCTTAAGGTTTTATAAAGTATCTTGTCAGGTTTTGGTCCTACACAAAATTTAGCTTTAGATAATAATGGAAGTCTTGTACTTTGTGAATAATTTTGGCCAGGCACAGTACAGATATATTTCTAAATTTATCCAAGTTACCAAGTCTTTAGGGGGCGGGGTGGGGGGAGGGGGGGTTCATAAGTTGTTTATTACAATTTTACAAGATTTTTTTCTTCTATATTTTCAGGTAAAACACTTCCATTCAGCAATTGGTGTGCAGTGTCCAGATTGTCAACATTTAGTAAGTAAAATTCTTACTGTACTTTACTTTCATTTACTGTATATATACAATACTTTCAAATTAATAGTATGTATGCAATCAAAAATGTTCCTTACGGTCATGGCCGATGAATTTCAAAATGAACGCGAGACGTCCATTATCTCCGTAAGGTTGTCAAAATCCTTTGTCCGAGGCGTCTGACTTAAATGCATTATTTGTGCCATCTGTGGGTATCTAGTAGTTTTGATTACATGTACCCAATAGGGCATCACATGGGCATTAGTTTGTAACAGTTGTACGTACAATGAATGGCACTTTGATGTCAATTGGTGATAATTATATGTAATTAATGTATATATCATGTTCTAAGTTACCCAGAAGCCATCATGTGGGTGTATCCAAGTTGATCACTTTAGTTCATGTTTCAGGTATAGTTTACAGTTCTACTGTACCTGTGGTTTATTTAGATCATTATCATTCAACTTCGGAATATGAAACGTAAAGTTCATTCAATATTTATGTATTTATTTATTTATTTTGTTATACACAGACATTGTAGGAGTACAAACCATTACAAACACCTCCCAGTGCAAGTGCCTCTACCACTACAAATGCCTCTACCACTACAAACGCCTCCCCCGGTACAAACGCCTCCCCCGGTACAAACGCCTCCCCCGGTACAAACGCCTCCCCCGGTACAAACGCCTCCCCCGGTACAAACGCCTCCCCCTGGTACAAACGCCTCCCCCGGTACAAACGCCATCCCTCAACAAGCCACCAGAGGCCTTCTCACACTGAACAACAATTACATATTACACTTAATTTTACAAACCACTAAGAGAAATGGATCCATGCGAGATATTCAAACCTCTCACAATCCGTTTGATTGATGTCCGTGTATCTCGTTGTACACCTTGCTGATACTTCACCTGTGGACGAAAAATATACAGTATTATAAAATGGAAATTTTTTGCAACCACAACAAAACTGTGACTACCACTGTAGTTAATAATGCTACTGTACATAATGTATCTTGCTATTTTTAATACTTTGTGTGGCTTTAATCAAGGTTCACTCCTACAGTCTTGAATGCATTAGTACAGTACTTTAAGTATTTTCTCAAGTTTGGCTAAATTATAACAAAAATATTTCCATAATACTTAACTTTCACAGTACACTATTCTTACAGTAGTGTACAGAACACCAATTCTGTTCTTTCTTAGTAAGGTGGTAGTATCAAGGTGTGGGATGCTAGACAGTAGTGGTCACCTTGTTGTGTCTGGTCCATCTATCTTGTACACCAACCACCTGCAACATGATTATATTTGTTTTTAGATACTCTACATCTGAATTAATTAAGCTATTTTATATCACAACCAATACACAATATTGAGGTTAACTTGTACTGTATGTTCTTAAATGCACTATTTTAAGTAATATATCAAGTTTTGCTAAATTATATAAAAAAGGTTTCAGTAATACTTAACTTTTACATTACAGTACACTATTCTTAACAGTAGTGTACAGAACACCAATTCTGTTCTTTCTTAGTAAGGTGGTAGTCCTCAAGGTGTGGGATGCTAGACAGTAGTGGTCACCTTGTTGTGTCTGGTCCATCTATCTTGTACACCAACCACCTGCAACATGATTATATTTGTTTTTAGATACTCTACATCTGAATTAATTAAGCTATTTTATATCACAACCAATACACAATATTGAGGTTAACTTGTACTGTATGTTCTTAAATGCACTATTTTAAGTAATATATCAAGTTTTGCTAAATTATATAAAAAAGGTTTCAGTAATACTTAACTTTTACATTGCAGTACACTATTCTTACAGTAGTGTACAGAACACCAATTCTGTTCTTTCTTAGTAAGGTGGTAGTCATCAAGGTGTGGGATGCTAGACAGTCTTGGTCACCTTGTTGTGTCTGATCCATCTATCTTGTACACCAACCACCTGCAACATGGTTTGGATTTAGATCAATCTTAATTAGCCTTAATGTATTACTACCAATACACAACATTTACTCCAGAATTTCTTGGAATCTAAACTTGCATTCTTATATATATGTGATATATCCATACACTCAAACACCCTCCTATATCACCTTACACAGGAGCATTGTCCTTCTCACTTTTGGCTGCAGCAGTCTTCATCTAGGCATCATCCCCCACATGCCTTCATAGTGCATGCTATGTTTTGCATCGCATTTTTAACATGCACTCCATTCACCATTGCTTGAGCACACCACCATCCATGCATGAGCGCCCCCACTGTACGAGCGCCCGTCCACTATACGAGGCCCCCACCCCCACTGTACGAGGCACCCACCCCCACTGTACGAGGCGGCCCCCCCCCCATTGTACGAGCGCCCCTGCACTGTACGAGCGCCCCTGCACCGCCCAATGCTCCTCCTTTCCAACCCTTCACACAAAGTAAGTCCCTTCTCTCGAGTCTTACTTCCAGTAGTTTTTGGGGATGGCCATACTAAGATACCTAAGTAATTTACCTAAGAAGGCTGAAGTAACATGATGGGTGTTACATCTTGCTCAAGGTGTCGGTCACTTCCTCTACATTGGCATTCACGTACGTCAGCTGTCACCTGCAACATGTTTAAAGTTGTAATTTATGTACAATGAAGATTAAACATACAATTTCCATCTACCACCAGACTACATGTACTTATACTGTCCCCAATTGTTTATTTAAATACCTTATCTACAAAAGATCTTATTTTAAGTTGCATTAGTGTTTTAGTTTTCTTGATACCTCAACAACTAACATTTACCACAACAATAGTATAGCCAATCATAACAAGCCTTCATCACCAATACTGCTACACTACTAAATCTCTCCACACTGCTTCATACACAACAGTTTACCACTGTTCACTTACTGAATCCTCCCTCCCTTCCTCCCACCCCTCAAGCCCCCTTAGGTATTCCCCTTGACAACTTGGTCACATTTAGCTTGAATGAAAAACTTTACCAACACACCTGCTCACCCCATATGCCAATACACAAGCCATATTGTCCCCCCCACCCTAATTACAACAAGCCACACCCACACAATGTTTAATGATTTCACAAGTCCCACAAGCTTCCCTTGCCTAAATAAAACTCAGTAAGTTGACTTTACCTGTTCTGGCATTTTAAGTTATTTCTCCTTAGGTTCAGTATGATGTTACTTCTGGCCAGCTTAACCTGAGGAGAAAGTCAGTACAGTACACGATTAGATTTTGAAAAGGAAACTGCAAAGTACGCAAGCTATTGATTTTTAATAATTTAAACAAGTGAAATTTTTTCTAGCTTAACTTTCTGAATTCATGATCAGTTAACATGTGGCAAATTTTAAGTTACATTCTTTAATATATTTGTTATCCAATATATAAACTATATAATAGGTAACTTAATATTAATTTGGGTTAGTCTAGATTAGTTACATTTAATCTATGTTAGGCTGATTAGGTTAGTTAATTTGTTAGTTAAAACCCACCTACTAACAACCAGCTTTACTTACTATTAATCACATTACTACTACTAATGCTCACTAATACTGTAACTAATTGGCATTTAGTCCTGTACATTTTTATAGCACTTTATTAAGCTTTCCCAAATCTCTACAGCTAATCTTAATTTGACTCCCAGCTCAGTTTATCTAGACAGTCCACACAGCTCTCCAGAGCCCGTTGTAAAATTGCAGTTTCGTCGAATATGCCCTCGTAGTTTAGAAATTCTTTTATCCTTTGTATTTTGGGTCGATTCAATGGAATGTGGCCTTTATTTCCAGGGGAAAGCACCCTCTTTAGAATTATATCCCCCCCCCCCCTCCCAAAAAAAAAGCATGGAAACCTTTAAAACTCCTTTCTGACATTCTTTGCTCCCTGGTTAAAATGGTGTTAGAAATACTCCAATAAGGAGATCTATGGGGATGGTTAAAAGTCAGGTGTGTACTGGCCGAAACTGCAATAATACCGAGCCCTCCAACACACACACAGTCCTCCAACACACACACACAGTCCTCCAACACACACACAGTCCTCCAACACACACACAGTCCTCCAACACACACACACAGTCCTCCAACACACACACAGTCCTCCAACACACACACACACACACACACACACACAGTCCTCCAAAACACACACACACACAGTCCTCCAAAACACACACACACACAGTCCTCCAAAACACACACACACACAGTCCTCCCAAAAAACACACACACACACAGTCCTCCCAAAACACACACACACACAGTCCTCTAAAACACACACACACACACAGTCCTCCAACACACACACACACACAGTCCTCCAACACACACACACACAGTCCTCCAACACACACACACACAGTCCTCCAGCACACACACACACAGTCCTCCAACACACACACACACACAGTCCTCCAAAACACACACACACACAGTCCTCAACACACACACACACAGGTTCTCCAAACACACACACACAGTCCTCCAACACACACACAGTCCTCCAAAACACACACATACACACAGTCCTCCAACACACACACACACAGTCCTCCAAAACACACACACAGTCCTCCAAAACACACACAGTCCTCCAACACACACACAGTCCTCCAACACACACACACACACAGTCCTCCAACACACACACACACACAGTCCTCCAGAGCCCTCCAACATGCACAGTCAGCCAGGTCCCACACACACACCCTCCACTGCCCAGTGTAGGAGCACAGTGTTGAGTGGTTTATGGGCTGACCATAATAGCTAAGATAATATATAAGTAACTTAACTGATGAGGCTGAAGTAACATGCTGGGTGTTAAGTCTTGCTCAAGGTTCTCTCACTTCTCCATTGGCCTTCAAGTACACCAGCTGTCACCTGCAACATGCTTAAAGTTGTAATTTACGTAGAATGAAAATTAAACTTGCAACTTCCATCTACCACTACACCACGTGTACTCACTGTCCCCAACTGTTTACATAAACCATTACCTCCACACTAAAACTATAGCATTTTTAGATCTCATGGTGTTGTCCCGACCTCCGTAAAGTGTCATTAATGCAAGAACGAATGTAAGTGTCGTCAAGACCAACACATGTGGTAACTCCAACGAGAACCAGGTCAATAAGGTAAGAAATAAGGGATTCCAACATATGGTGAGAGTCGGTTAGATTAGGTCCGGTTTATGTTTTTATAGGTTTTTTTTTTTTCATTCGCTGAGCCAATATTTTTTTCGGGAAACACCACCAAAAAAATCTATAAAAAACGACCAATTTCCGACGGAAATGGAGGTCATAACCGATCTAAACACAAATACGCTAATATTATTTTGTTTTACTTTCTAATTGTTGTGTGAACATACAAATGGACCTTTTGTCACCAGGAGACAACCAAGGAACCTCCAGGTTACGTTACGTTACGTTGTTAGGTTAGTTATGGTGCTTTTTGGTTGTTGACCAATGGGTTTTTCCGGTTGTAAAATCCATGGTTGTCCACTTTTAAAAAATTACCAAGAACCTTAATGTTACGGGATTTAATATATACTGTATTCTGAAACGTCTCGCCCTCTAGCCTAGCCTAGCCTAGCCTAGCCCAGCCCAGCCCCGCCCGGCTCACTACCTCACCTCATCCGGTTCCCTACCCCGCCCCGCCCCGCCCCTGGGCCCTGCCCCAAGGCTCCCTGCCCTCCCTCCTCCGTCTGGCTCCCCGTCTCGTCTTGCCCTGCCTGGTCTCACCCTGCCCTGGCTCCTCCCCGCCTTGTCTTTGCCTTGCCTCGCCCCTGCCCTGCCCCTGCCCACCCCCACTCCCGCCTCACCCCCGCCCGGCTCCCCACCCGTCTCACCCCGCCCGGCCCCACCTGCCTCACCCCTGCCCGGCTCCCCACTCCGTCTCACCCCGGCCCGGCTCCCCACCCTGCCCACCCCCGGCCCGGCCCCCACTGCCTCCCCACCCCGCCCGGCCCCCACCTGCCTGACCCCGCCCGGCCCCCCCACCTGCCTCAATCTCTGCCTGGCTCCCCACCCTGCCTCACCCCTGCCCGGCTCCCCACCTGCCTCACACCCCCCGCCCGGCTCCCACCTGCCTCACCCCGCCCGGCCCCACCTGCTCCACCCCCGCCCGGCTCCCCACCTGCCTCACCCCGCCTGGCTCCCTCACTCCGTCTCACCCCTGCCCGGCTCCTCACCTCACCTCAACCCCGCCCGGCTCCCCACCCTGCTCCTCACCCCTGCCCGGCTCCCACCTCGCTCCTCACCCCCTGCCCGGCCCCCTGGCCTGCCCCACCCCGGCCCGGCCCCACTCCGCCCTCACCCCTCTGCCCGGCCCCCACTCCCGCCCCCACCTTCTGCCTGGCTCCCCACTCCGCCCCACCCCCGCCCCGGCTCCCCACTCCTCCCTCGGGCCCTGCCTCACCCCTGCCCCCACCTCGCTCCTCACATCCCCCGCCCGGCTCCTCCCTCGTCTTCATCCTGCCCGGCTCCCTCCCTACCTCGCCTCACCCCGCCCGGCTCCCTCCCTCGCCTCACCCCGCCCGGCTCCCTCCCTCCCTCCCTCGCCTCACCCCGCCCGGCTAGAACCCGTAATAAATTGTTTCAACTCCCAGAAATCGTAACTAAAATTGATACTTCTATTTGTGTTAAATCTAGTGAATGCGGCGCAGTTGTCAATGGTGAATACAGTGGTGGTGATGAACTGCGCAGTTGTTGAGTTATGACCACCCGGCTCCCCCATAAGTGTGTTGGGCTTCGAAGCAAGAAATAAAAAATAAATAAAACGTAATCTAACCCAATCTGGTCATTGTACTCACTTACTGGTTAATTATTACCTAAATACTGATGAACGGTTTACGCTCGTTACTCACTACCGGCTCATAGTTTAGGCTCGTTTGTCATGACTCATTTGGCGGTATATTTGACTAAAACATTAAGAAATTACTGGTTAGACGTTAGAGAGCCACTTAATATAATACTAATGTATTTGTTTAAGCTGCACAGTAGGTACCATGGGCCTTAGAGCCCAGTGAAACGACCCTATGAGGCAATTGAACTGTAACAACCGGCCGGCAAGTTTTTGACTTAAATCAGCATTTATTACGCCATAATTAAGTATATTAAACACTACCCAAAAGAATAACCATTTCTCTTGGCCATTTGGACTGTAGGCAGTCGGGCAAAAAATGTACACGTATATAAAGGAGACTAGAGGAGCGGCGCTTACCTGCCTGTCAGCTGCAGTCAGTGAGTGGCGAGTGGTCGGTGAGGAAAGGGACGAAGGCCAGTTAGTCGAGGCCTTATATGTCAAGGTTCACAGTGACGTCACCAAGCTTCACTGAACCATTTTTTTTGCTTCATTGAATCATTTTTTTGCTTCATTGAAGCATTTGAAGCTTCGAACTTGTATATACGTTAAAATACGTAAAAACGTCAAATTTGTGGCCCGATTTAACTTTTCATTAACTTTAAGGGAATAATACAACGAAAACAGTGTCCCAGAAGGAAAAGAAAAGCAAAAACAAAGCAAAACGGCTCTGTGAGCGGCAGTTTTTGGAGTAACTATTATATTTAATCACAGAAAACGGAGCAGATATTTAATCATAGAAAACGGAGCAGGAGTAACTATTATATTTAATCACAAAATGGAGGGGTAACTATTATATTTAATCACAAAATGGAGGGGTAACTATTATATTTAATCACAAAATGGAGGGGTAACTATTATATTTAATCACAAAATGGAGGGGTAACTATTATATTTAATCACACAAGACGGAGCAGGGGTAACTATTATATTTAATCAGTGTTCAGTCGCAGCCAATATATTAAATATTGACCTCATAGATAATTTTTCTATTAAATTTGTTTATATCTTGACAGTCTTGGTCTGTCCTTCACTGTCGACAACAGTATTGAAGTAGTTAGGTTGGTTGGTGATATAGAGATGAACCATTAGCTCTGAGGGTGCAGTACCAGGCCGGTCTCAGTCAGGCCAAGTTATTCTATTTCATGTTTTCTTGGGCCTTTATATGTTAGGGGAGTCCCTCCATGACCCTTGTGTCACTAGAAGGATGATCCCCATCTTTTTTGTTTCTAGTTTTTATTGTGGGTTTTTATTATAGTTTTGGTAATATTGGATATTTTTGTTATTTCTCCTTTATTTCTGCATATATTTCTTTTTTTATTTATTTATTTAGTTTATTTTGTATTTCCTAATTACTAGTTAAAAATAAATAAAAATTTACCAATTGTTCACTCAATTATTTAAATAAATTGTATAAGGATTTAATATTTAAGAGAGAGTCACTTTGGTAAGGGAAACTATGTTAAGTCTTGTTAAGTTTATTTTACTCTCTCCTCTTGGTCACAGATCGTCTTGTTACTTCACACTCTAGTGCCTCTTGAGTTATTCTAAAGGTATAAACTATATTTACTGTGTTATTACCGTACATATGGTGGTCCTCAGTCCACATTCCTGCCACTAGGGTCCAGGTACAGGGTGTATTAATATACCTTCTCAGTGGAAACTTTTCTTTTTTTACACACACTGTACTGTACGTCGCCGCTCTTCAGTGACTACATCACAACACATTCACGTAAATAGTTCTCAGTTAAATCAGTCGTTGTAAACAAGGAAATAAATAACTTTCTCCTATTATAACTGACTTTTAACTCACCCTGTTAAAGCTACATTTATTAACATCAGTTGTAACATTAATGAGGGACATCTGTACTGTACTGTACTGTACATCAGTTGTAACATTAATGAGAGACATCTGTACTGTACTGTACTGTACTGTACATCAGTTGTAACATTAATGAGAGACATCTGTACTGTACTGTACTGTACATCAGTTGTAACATTAATGAGGGACATTTGTACTGTACTGTACATCAGTTGTACCATTAATGACGGACATCTGTACTGTACTGTACTGTACATCAGTTGTACCATTAATGAGGGACATCTGTACTGTACTGTACTGTACATCAGTTGTACCATTAATGAGGGACATTTGTACTGTACTGTACATCAGTTGTACCATTAATGAGGGACATCTGTACTGTACTGTACATCAGTTGTACCATTAATGAGGGACATCTGTACTGTTCTGTACAGAACTGTACTATACTGCACTGTACTGTTCTCTACTGTACTGTTCTGAACTGTACTGTACTGAACTGTACTATACTGTACTGTACATCAGTTGTAACATTAATGAGGGACATCTGTACTGTACTGAACTGTACTATACTGTACTGTACATCAGTTGTAACATTAATGAGGGACATCTGTACTGTACTGTTCTGTACTGAACTGTACCGTACTTTTCTGTACTGTACTGTTTTGTACTGTGTTGTACTGTACTGTACTGTACTGTTCTGTTCTGAACTGTACTATACTGTAGTGTACTGTACTGTACTATACAGTACTGTTCTGAACTGTTTTGTACTGTGTTGTGTTGTACTGTACTGTGCTATACTGTACATCAGTTGTAACATTAATGAGGGACATCTATACTGTACTGTTCTGTACTGAACTGTACCGTACTTTTCTGTACTGTACTGTTTTGTACTGTGTTGTGCTGTACTGTACTGTACTGTACTGTTCTGTACTGAACTGTACTATACTGTAGTGTACTGTGCTATACTGTACATCAGTTGTAACATTAATGAGGGACATCTATACTGTACTGTACATCAATTGTAGCATTAATGAGACATCTGTATTGCACATCAGTTGTAGTATTAATGATGGACATCTGTACTGTACTATTCTGTACTGTGCTATACTGTACTATTCTGTACTGTGCTATACTGTACTATTCTGTACTGTGCTATACTGTACTATTCTGTACTGTGCTATACTGTACTGTACATCAGTTGTTGCATTAATGAGACATCTGTACTGTACATCAGTTGTAGTATTAATGATAGACATCTGTACTGTACTGTACATCAGATGTACCATTAATAATGGCGTTACAGCTACATTTATTTCTATAAATTGAAGGGTAAAGTCTACATATCTCCCTTAATATTGATGTAATTGATCTGAAATTCATTATGAGCAAAGAAACCTTAGCTTAAAGTGCCACTTTGTTCAGTGTTCTTATGAATGCAGCAGATGAGAGCTAACAGGCATTAGTCGATCCATAGTTTACCATGATGAGGTGTATCAAGTGAAACAAGTATATGGAGCAAGTAACAACATCACTACATTATAAGATGTTGTAACTGATAGACTAAGGTTAGGATATAAGTACCTCTGGCAGTATGTTCCTCAAGCAGATGTGAACAACACTATATGTAGTGTGTGGCCAGACATATGGCCACACACTCTGGCAGTATGTCCCTCAGGCAGATGTGAACAAGACTAAATGTGAAGTGTGTGGCCAGACATATGGCCACACACTCTGGCAGTATGTCCCTCAGGCAGATGTGAACAACACTAGATGTGAAGTGTGTGGCCAGACATATGGCCACACACTCCAAAACTACATCCTTAAATGTGTGAAAATAGAACCTGAATATTAACCCTCAAGAACAGTACAGAACAGTACAGTATAATATGGATCAGTACAGTATAATATGGGTCAGTACAGAACAGAACAGTACAGTACAGTACAGTACAGAACAGTACAGAACAGAACAGAACAGTACAGAACAGAACAGAACAGTACAGTACAGAACAGTACAGTACAGTACAGTACAGTTGTCCCTCATTAATACTACAACTGACATACAGTACAATACAATACTGTACAGTACTGTATAATATAGATCAGTACAGTACAGGGTTAAAGCTTCACATATAACAAAGACAATGTTGAATCTTGGTCGAACAAACACTAAAACAGTCACCAGGAAAGTGATCTGGACAATAAATACTGACTCCAGTTTACTGTATACGCAATGTAATGAACTAGTGACCCAAATTTATATAAAATACTCGTCTCTATGAGTTATTGGCAGTCACCTTCAACCCTTGCCATCATGTTATTTAATAATATTCTATCTAGAATCATTTCCAGCAATAATTACGGTCATAAAACAGTAAATTATCATAAATATTACCTTGGCTCCTCCCCGGGCGTCGTCCAGACCAATCTAACATTTGGCTCTCAACTCAAAATATAAACCAGCCATGGAATCTTCTGCTCATTAAATTCCATAAATACAAAAACCTATTATTTTAATGCATCTTTACTCATAATGAATTTTAGGGCAATTACAGCAATATTAATTCAAGATATCCACATACAGTATCTGAAGACCAGCCATTACTGTACACATGTTCTACAATATTGGGGTTAAAATAAAATATTCAGCAATAGTTTAAATACTTATATGTCATTCTGTAAGATATTAATGTTTGTGGCACATCATGGCCAAACATAAAGTGTATACAGGCAGTCCCTGAGTTACGACCGTCCGACTTACCATCACCCGCACTTATGAACGGGATCACATTCACTGCAATTTTTTTAATTAAAATCCCAATTTTTTCATTAGTTTATAATTATATATTGTTTAACATCACTTTAATTACATTATTTTTTATATATGGGATATTATTGTTGGGCTTTAACCTAACCTAAACTATGGGTCCAGGAACTTATCCCTGTTGTAAGTTGGGGACAGCCTGTATTAACATAAAACTCTATATTCATGTCCACAAAATTAATTCCATTCTTGTAGCAATCATTTTAAAAAAACCATTGTTAGATAAACACAAGCCAGTACTATTAGGAAAAGTTGTATATAAGAACAGCAAATATCTTAATACTATATGCTAATTTCAACAAGTCTTCTGCTTGACATGATTTAAAAACAAATTTTAACCCAGAGTTTGACATTTCAGCATTGGCTACTTTAAGAAAATGACTGCCCAAGGATGAATTTATATATAACCAAGAAGAGTTACCTAACTAAGGTACAAGATGCTAACTGAACAATATATTAAACATGATATTATATACAGTTAAGAGGTGTTAAAGTTCATCTGCCCCATAACACCAGGTACTATATATGAACCCTAACCATTATTTACCAGACAATGGTACCATATATCTGTAAGTGATGAAAGAATATATTTAAAACATGAATCAAAACTTCCAACCATTTTAGTCAAGATAAAACATCAAAATATCTCGTCAGAGTTGAGCATAACTTATCCAATTTTTACGTACAAAGTTCAAGAGAGATTGAAGAGTTTCCGTGAGATAATGACAACACCTTGACTATAACAAATGGTCTACCATCACTGTACTACTTTACTAAGATGATTTACTACCCGTGTTAATGTACGTACTTGTGATAAAACTTACGTCACGTGTAAATAAAGACAGACGAACACAGTTGACACAACTACTGATGCACAAATTATAGTAAATGAGAGTTCATCAATGTTCAACACAACTTATCCAGTAAAGATGAAATTTTAAAGACATAGATGATAAGTTTAACCTTTGCTTACTACTGTACTGTAAACAACATTATTATTATGAGTGATATTTAACCAACACCAAATGTCTACACTAAGGCCATGGTAGAAGAAATTTACATCTTACGAGCAGATAATTATAACTTGTGCTTAATATCTATAAAAGTGGCATTTGTCACTTATCTTTATTTCTGGTACATTCATAGAGTTTGTTCAAGTGGTTTTATATTGATGTATATCACTGTATTCAAGTTTATGTGTCACATTTACCTTCTGTTAAAGTCATTCAAACATTTATTGAATTCTGTTTTTCTTTTTCATGCACAAGTTTATGACGTTTGAGAGTACCCTTCTGGGAGAAACATTTCCCACATTCCTTACATTCAATATCCTTCACACCATTGTGTTCAAGAATGTGTGTCTTGAGATTACTCTTCTGGGAGAAACATTTCCCACATTCCTCACATTCAAACTCCTTCACACCATTGTGTCCAAGAATGTGTGTCTTGAGAGTACTCTTTAGTGCAAAATGTTTCCCACATTCCTCACATTTAAACTCCTTTATACCATTGTGTACAAGAATGTGTGTCTTGAGATTACTCTTCTGGGAGAAACATTTCCCACATTCCTCACATTCAAACTCCTTCACACCATTGTGTATAAGAATGTGTTTCATGAGATTACTCTTCCGTGAGAAATATTTCCTACATTCCTCACATTTAAACTTCTTTATACCACTGTGTCCAAGAATGTGTGTTTTGAGATGACCCTTCCAGGAGAAACATTTCCCACATTCCTCACAATCAAACTCCTTCACACCATTGTGTCCAAGAATGTGTGTCTTGAAATTTCTTTAGTGCAAAATGTTCCCACATTCCTCACATCCAAACTCCTTTATACCATTTTGTAGGACAAGAATGTGTTTCTTGAGATTACCCTTTAGTGCAAAATGTTTCCCACATTCCTCACATTCAAACTTCTTTATACCACTGTGTCCAAGAATGTGTGTCTTGAGAGTCCTCTTCTGGGTGAAACATTTCCCACATTCATCATTCAAATTCCTTCACACCATTGTGTTCAAGAATGTGTGTCTTGAGATTACTCTTCTGGGAGAAACATTTCCCACATTCCTCACATTCAAACTCCTTCACACCATTGTGTATAAGAATGTGTTTCATGAGATTACTCTTCCGTGAGAAATATTTCCCACATTCCTCACATTTAAACTTCTTTATACCACTGTGTCCAAGAATGTGTGTTTTGAGATGACCCTTCCAGGAGAAACATTTCCCACATTCCTCACAATCAAACTCCTTCACACCATTGTGTCCAAGAATGTGTGTCTTGAGAGTACTCTTTAGTGCAAAATGTTTCCCACATTCCTCACATTTAAACTTCTTTATACCATTGTGTACAAGAATGTGTGTCTTGAGATTACTCTTCTGGGAGAAACATTTCCCACATTCCTCACATTCAAACTCCTTCACACCATTGTGTATAAGAATGTGTTGCTTGAGATTACTCTTCTGGGAGAAACATTTCCCACATTCCTCACATTCAAACTCCTTTATACCACTGTGTCCAAGAATGTGTGTCCTGAGATTACTCTTCTGGGAAAAATATTTCCCACATTCCTCACATTTAAACTCCTTTATACCACTGTGTCCAAGAATGTGTGTCTTGAGTTGACCCTTCTGGGAAAAATATTTCCCACATTCCTCACATTTCAACTCCTTTATACCATTGTGTACAAGAATATGTGTCTTGAGATTACTCTTCTGGGAGAAACATTTCCCACATTCCTCACATTCAAACTCCTTCACACCATTGTGTATAAGAATGTGTTTCTTGAGATTACTCTTCTCAGAGAAACATTTCCCACATTCCTCACATTCAAACTCCTTTATACCACTGTGTCCAAGAATGTGTGTCTTGAGATGACCCTTATGGGAAAAATATTTCCCACATTCCTCACATTTAAACTTCTTTATACCACTGTGTCCAAGAATGTGTGTCTTGAGATGACCCTTATGGGAAAAATATTTCCCACATTCCTCACATTTAAACTCCTTTATACCACTGTGTCCAAGAATGTGTGTCTTGAGATGACCCTTATGGGAAAAATATTTCCCACATTCCTCACATTTAAACTTCTTTATACCACTGTGTCCAAGAATGTGTGTCTTGAGATGACCCTTATGGGAAAAATATTTCCCACATTCCTCACATTTAAACTCCTTTATACCACTGTGTCCAAGAATGTGTGTCTTGAGATGACCCTTATGGGAAAAATATTTCCCACATTCCTCACATTTAAACTTCTTTATACCACTGTGTCCAAGAATGTGTGTCTTGAGATGACCCTTATGGGAAAAACATTTCCCACATTCCTCACATTTAAACTTCTTTATACCACTGTGTCCAAGAATGTGTGTCTTGAGATGACCCTTATGGGAAAAACATTTCCCACATTCCTCACATTCAAACTGCTTCACACCATTGTGTCCAAGAATGTGTCTCTTGAGATGACTCTTCCAGGAGAAACATTTCCCACATTCCTCACAGGAGAACTTTTTATCTCTGCTTGACATTGTGAACTTCTTCTTAGTTACACTTGGTCTTGAGATGTGACATCACAGTATCTGAAACAAAATATTTTGCCTTGGTTAATATTTTTATAAAAGTACAATTTATAAATGAAAACTACAAGTGACTAAATCAACTTGTGTAAAATAAGAGTAAAAATAATTTAAAAATATAAAATAAAAAGGTTATATTAATCTACACTGCAAAGATGAGGGAAAACCAGCTTTTTGAAGTGAGACAGATTGTATGAGTATGGAAACACAGAAGAAGGCAGAGCATTCAACAGTGTGAGGAAAGAAGGAGGTACTGTAATGGGTTATTATAGTGTGACCCACATCCACAGAGAGACAGTTTGGCTGTGTGAGTAAAGAAGGATGTACTATAACGGGTTATTATAGTGTGACTCACATCCACACAGACACACAGTTTGGCTGTGTGAGTAAAGAAGGAGGTACTATAATGGGCTATTATAGTGTGACCCACATCCACACAGACACACAGTTTGGCTGTGTGAGTAAAGAAGGAGGTACTATAATGGGCTATTATAGTGTGACCCACATCCACACAGACACAGTTTGGCTGTGTGAGTAAAGAAGGATGTACTATAACGGGTTATTATAGTGTGACCCACATCCACACACAAACTTAGGCGCAGTATGGGTCAATAGGCCAGCTACAGTTTCCTCCATTCTTAACTGTGGGCACTGTGGGCATGACGAGTGTTACGAGCCCACGGCCTTGATGGTGGTACACAGGACGATAAATCCACTTTACTTACTTACTGTATTGTGTCTTAGTTATTACCTTAACACAGCCATACATAATGTTAACACCAGGAGGGAGGAGGAAGGCCCTGAAATTAACATTTACCTAACAATAATAATCCAGGCAAGCCACGTTGGATTTATTACTGTGTCTTAGTTATTACCTTAACACAGCCATACATAGTGTTAACTTACCACGAGGGAGGCCCTAGGTAACATTTACTAACAATAATAATCCAGGCAGCCACATTAGTTGTACTGTGTGTCTTAGTTATTACCTTAACACAGCCATACATAATGTTAACTTACCAGGAGGGAGGAGGAAGGCCCTGGAAATTAACGTTACTAACAATAATAATCCAGACAGCCGCGTTAGTTGTACCTGCGTCTTAGTTATTACCTTAACACAGCCATACATAATGTTAACTCACCAGGAGGGAGGGAGGAAGGCCCACAAATTAACATTTACTAACAATAATAAACCAGACGGCCACGTTAGTTGTACTGTGTCTTAGTTATTACCTTAACACAGCCATACATAATGTTAACTTACCAGGAGGGAGGGAGGAAGGCCCACAAATTAACATTTACTAACAATAATAAACCAGACGGCCACGTTAGTTGTACTGTGTCTTAGTTATTACCTTAACACAGCCATACATAATATTGCTTACCAGGAGGGAGGAGGGAAGGCCCTAAATTAACATTTACTAACAATAATAAACCAGACAGCCACATTATTGTACTGTGTCTTAGTTATTACATAACACAGCCATACATAATGTTAACTTGCCAGGAGGGAGGGAGGAAGGCCCACGGTAACGTTACTAACAATAATAAGCCAGACAGCCACGTTGGTTGTACTGTGTCTTAGTTATTACCTTAACACAGCCGCCACATAATGTTAACTTGCAGGAGGGAGGGAGGAAAGGCCCTAAAATTAACATTTACTAACAATAATAAACGGGCGACCGTGGTTGTACTGTGTCTTAGTTATTACCTTAACACAGCCATACATAATGTTAACTTACAAGGAGGGAGGAGGAAGGCCCTGGGGTAACATTTACTATAATAATAAGCTAGACGGCCCACGTTAGTTGTATATTGTCTTAGTTATTACCTTAACACAGCCATACATAATGTTAACTTACCGGGAGGGAGGGAGGAAGGCCACAAATTAACATTTACTAACAATAATAAACTAAACTGACCGTTAGTTGTACTGTGTCTTAGTTATTACCTTAACACAGCCATACATAATGTTAACTTACCAGGAGGGAGGGAGGAAGGCCCACAAATTAACATTTACTAACAATAATAAACCAGACGACCACATTAGTTGTACTGTGTCTTAGTTATTACCTTAACACAGCCATACATAATGTTAACTTACCAGGAGGGAGGGAGGAAGGCCCACAAATTAACATTTACTAACAATAATAAACCAGACGGCCACATTAGTTGTACTGTGTCTTAGTTATTACCTTAACACAGCCATACATAATGTTAACTTACCAGGAGGGAGGGAGGAAGGCCCACAAATTAACATTTACTAACAATAATAAACCAGACGGCCACGTTAGTTGTACTGTGTCTTAGTTATTACCTTAACACAGCCATACATAATGTTAACTCACCAGGAGGGAGGGAGGAAGGCCCACAAATTAACATTTACTAACAATAATAAACCAGACGGCCACGTTAGTTGTACTGTGTCTTAGTTATTACCTTAACACAGCCATACATAATGTTAACTCACAAGGAGGGAGGGAGGAAGGCCCACAAATTAACATTTACTAACAATAATAAACCAGACGGCCACGTTAGTTGTACTGTGTCTTAGTTATTACCTTAACACAGCCATACATAATGTTAACTCACCAGGAGGGAGGAAGGAAGGCCCACAAATTAACATTTACTAACAATAATAAACCAGACGGCCACGTT